GTGTCCTGCCTTCCACACTCAACTTTTTGACCATTATGACACCATCCGGGTACACATAGTGCATTACATTTTGCCATAATTGTCAGTGTAAACGCACTTATGCACTCAAAATAGCAAGAGTAAGTATGGAGGGATGCGAATTTTGACACAGCATATGACGTTGTTTCCAGTCTTCATGCTAAGCTAAGCTAACAGGTTGCTGGCTGTAGCCTAATCAATGATGGACATACCAATTAGTATAGATATACCCAACTAATTCTCAGCAAGAAAGCAAATAAGCGTATTTCCCAAAATGTCAAACTATAACTTTCCTATCTCACTTTTGGCAAAATTTTATCTGTGAGAAAAGTATGATAGATACCTGTTTAGACTGACCATCAGCATTGGGAGAAAATGAGCTGTCTAAACAAGGTAACACTAGCTCCCTGTTAGATGTGTATAAAGCTGAGTGAGAGTAACATCACCCTGCTGTCTCTTCTACTTGTTTACTTCAGCATGTTACCCCATCGGGCCACCCCACATGGACCCCCACACACATGGACCCACAGCCCGCACAGACAAACAGAGGGATAAAGAGAAGGATAGTGTGAAAGAGAGGAAAGACACACCTCATTAATCTTCCTGGCACTTTCCACTCCACGGCTGTCTGTTTTACCAGCAAGTTTACTTTTATGTGAAGGTGAAAGTGAGTGATACCCAAACGGCTGCCTTAAAATACAAAATGTTCAACATCACCCACAAGTTATACTTTACACACCACCCTATTTTCTGAACTTGTAAATGCCAGCTGCATTGCTCTTGTCTCTTCAAATGGAATTCCTAATATGTTTGGACAAATACTTTCGCCTCCTGGCTGACATGTTAAGGAGTGAGGGTAGTCTATTATGTTATGCTGAGGAGAGCGCAGCAAAACTTAAACGTGCATTGATGACTTTCCCTGATTAGTTTCATTGTCTAAAGATAGCCCTTGTGAAGTGGCACTGACTCACTCACATCAAGGTATTTTGCTCAAGTGAAAGACCTCTGTCTGTAGACACAAACCAGGCGGGCAGACCTGTCCACCTTGTAAAAATTTCCTTCCATGTCCTTTCATTGGACATGGAAGCAGTGGTCTGGTGGGGTGTTGAAAGAAGTGTTCGACATTTTCAGAAATATGCTTACTTGCTTTCTTGCAGAGAGTTAGATGAGAAGATAGGGTGGCCATATTTTAAACATACACACATAACTCCACTTAAAACTTCAACTTGTCAGTTTTCCCCTGGTTTCCAGTATTTGTGCTAAACTAAGCTGAGCTAATCTCTCCTGGTCCCAGCTTCAAATTAAATGCATAGAAAATCTTCCCATCTAAATCTCTGCAAGAAAGCAAATAAGTGTATTTTCTCAAATGTTGTGCTATTCCTTTAACCTTGATTATATAGAACTCTTACACTTAATTTTTGAACTATGTCTTTTTGTTTGTTTTTCAAGTCAAATAACAAAAGAGACAGCAACACAGACACAAGAACAAACAATAGGCTGGATTATTAAGAGGTCTCCCGTAAGAACAAATTGTAATTAAAATACCACCACACATAAAGGCTTATTATTCTTGACAAACTCACATTCCCTCACACAAACAAACACAGGGACAGCAGTCAGGCAGCCCATCCCAAGACAGGCTCCAGTGCAGAGTGATATCAGACTTGTGAATTGTAGCAGGGAGTCTGAATGACAATGAGTCTTGTAGCCCTGGAGGAGATTGTTACAGGCAGCAGGAGCAGGCAACGGCTGCCATGTGCCAGAGTCAACAGCCCCAATCACCCACCTGGAACCTGGAGTCCAGACAGCCACGGGGAGGTGGAGCCGCTGGCCTGACCTCAGCTACAAGCTGCAGGGACGTCGGAGACCCAGCCCAGACAGACCAACCGGGGCTGTGATGTCTCTTGTCTTCAGGTCCCACCCTGTTGGTGACCTGCATGTGCCCCTCCCTTCCATTCTATTTGCCCAAAACCAGCCTTGTTAAATTCCCCGCCATTTGCTCTCATCTAGTACCCGCTCCTCCTCTTTAGGACCCTTTTAAACCACACCCATCTATCCCCACCTAAATCTGCTGCACTCCAGTTTAATCACCTCTGGATGTGGGTGGGGGCTTTGGGGGTGGAGGTGAAAACCACACATTACCTCATGTATTTACTTATCCAGGGTAGCTAGTGAGCGACGAGGAGAGTGGAGCTGGGGGTGAAAGGTGAAGGATTCAGGAGTAAATGAGTCATGACCAAAACCAAAGGGTTGGACTCTGAGGACAAGGTTGCATAAACACCAAAAGGTACACAACACTTCCACAAAGACACTAACATACCTGTGGTTGGAGTGTAAAAGCCCTAAAACTCTTCACCTGCATTTGTGTGATTGCTACAGACAAATTTCTAAACTAATCCTCAGAGGCTTCCCAGATGTCCACGTCTTGGACATAACAGCATAATGTTTCCCAGAATACAGAGTAAGCACTTTGAGATTATTTGCTATTAATGAAAACAATTAGGGGCTCAGGCTTTTGGTAGCCTGCCAACTACTGTTTCAATTTTTTTCCTTCCTTGCAAGTGGAGTTTGAACTCTCTAGATTGCTTCCCTTTAGTAACAATGCACAAACACCCCCCAATCCCCTCTCAGCTATCTGCCCATGTTCAACATCACCTCAGTAACTGCTAGTGACATGTGCCGCGGATCGGCCTTGTAGTGTGTCCCACCACCCCACCTTAGAGAGGTGGTGCAGCTCTGAGAAACCAAACAGAGCCAGTAAAGTCAATTGGCAGACTGCTCCATTTGCAGTGAGTGAAGAATTTCTTTATTTCAATGGAGAGATCCTCCATCCTGAAAAAATAGGTGGCTAAGAGAGGTGTGCAACCGAGGTGAAAAGAAAGGAGGTAATGAATAAAAAGAAAAATGAAAGCAAAAGAACAAAAAATGGACAAGAACAAAGATGGGTGGATGGACTTCCACTCATTCATCTCCCATGTCCCAGCAATCCTTGCCTGTCTGTTGGAACGACGATGTGCCCGGGCGGAGACATTAAGCACATTCCAAGAATCAGCCCAATTATGGGCAGATGAGGGGCAGTTCTCTTTGTTTAAGAACAAAGCCAGAAGTGACACAACTTGTCTTTAAAGGGGGCTCTCACAACCGTGGCTAAGGGGAGGGGGGCCCGGTGGGTGGGGGAGGTGACCAGCTGGTTATAAATATCTATTTGGTCAGTTACTGGAAGGAAAATTTGCAGTTTGTTTGTCATCCACTCATCCAGGTGGTGGGCCTGGTGGTTGCAAAACATCAGAGCAGAGAAAGAGAGAGAGAGAGAGAGAGAGAAGCCAACCTGTTTGAGTTTGACTGCAGAAATGAGGAATTTGACTAATTCTTATATGAAAGCCACATGTCATTCTCTTATGTAAACCTCCAGTGAGAGAAAGCTCTTGGCAAGATCGTGTTGCATATTTAACTCAGTAATTATTCTGGTCATACATATTAGATATGTGCAATGTGAATTAGTCTTGCACTCATAATTACGCAATGTAAGAGTAGTTTTTAATGACAATGTCATCTGGCAGATATAAATATTGCAGAACCATCTCCAATAACAATTTATAACTAATCACGAATAATAATAAAAAAAAGAAGTATAACATTTCCTGTATTTTGGCTTCAGACTGCTCTGCTGTGCTATCAAAACTATGAAATGCAATAAACAAAAAAAAAAATGCAAAAACCAAACATACACAGAAGCATTTCAAACCACTTGTGCACAATAATTCACTGCTCAACTGTCCATCCATAAACCCAGTATGTTCCAAACAATCATCAGTTTGCCAGGATAGAGCTGCTTCCACATTGTACTATTGCCCTCAAAAAATCCAAAGCTCTTGCGGAAGCTGTGTCTCATCATAGAAGACAAAATTTTTTTACAACCACCGTTCAAGCTATACAGGGGGTGTGAATATGATTCCAAAAAGACTGATTTTGGGTGGAGTAATACTTTAATAACACACATTGTGCAAGTGGTTGTTGATGGCCAGAAACATGGAGTATTGGACTGAAGAGGGGCGGGACAAGTTTAAAGTTTAATTCCCACTCTGCAGTAAATTAGAACACAGCAGGGTAATGTCTGTTTATCCCAGATCCAGCTGCCTGGGCCTCTCTCCTATCCCTCTCCTTCTCTCCCCGCAGAACACACCACGGCCCCAGGATCACCTGCACACAAATGGCACTACACAAAACACGCATTATGCAAACACATGCACTCTTATAAACAAACAAACCAGTACATGCATGCATATGCACACAGACACAAACCCACATTGTACTCATGTACTCACACACACAAATGTAAACACACTTGTGTACTAGAAAACAGATCACAAATAGATTTTGCAGTTCAGTTACACCAGTGACTTGTGGGCTGAACTTAAACTGAGAGGCAATATTTGTGGCTACTTGCTTAATTTTTATTTTCATTATGGGAGATTATTTTCTATCTAGATTGCATATCACTTTACAACTCTATTAGTCATAAATAAATCATATACAAAGACTGTGTCAGAAAAGTGTTTGTTTTGCTCTCTTTAAAATGTTGTGGTTTTTACAAAGTTTGTAGTGATGATGCATTGGACTGCTCCTGTTATTTTGTCCACCCCTGTGGCTAGAAACGTTGCAGTAGCTTGAAATTGTGTTTTTTTAGAAGGTAAACTAAACCTTGATCTATCCAAAAGCAGCAGGCCAGCTGGGATGTTGGTACAGTATTAGTTTTATATTGAGTAGATATTTGCTGTCCTCTAGTGGCTCACGTCACTACACGTTGTAAACAATTCAATTAAGGCCGATAACTATTAATAGTTGTTTGTCTCCATCTAGTGCACAATAAGAAGAATGAATTTTATGAAGGGGGTGATGGGAGGGGGACAAAAAGCTGTCACCATGTTCGCGCAATTTCTACGTGCGCGTTCACGAAAGCATCCTGTGATCTGTGCGTCAGCTGTCAAGCCATACACACGCACACTACCGTACTGTCTCTAAGCAAGATTTGTTTGGACAACGAATGAATCTGAAATTCCACAGAGACGGAAACACTCAAAGTATGGTGACTGTAATAACGAGCAGGACCAAAGTGAATCGGTGACAGTAGACTGGTTTGACACAGGTTTATATTAGTTTCAGAAGGAGAAAGGGGGGGTGAAAAGGTTTTCCGGTTGAAGCGTTGCAGACTAGCTAACGTTAAGCTAGCCTCGGGAGTTCTCCAACCGGCTTCATTAGCTTAGCTAGCCAGCAAGCTAACACTAACAAGCTGTTGTAGCTGCGTCGCACTCGAGGAAAGCAGTGGCAGCTTGTTTGGAGGTCTTTAATTTGGTTGAAATTTAATTTTAGCACCGACTAGTATGATGTCTTGTGGTAGCTGTTGCGAAGTAGTGAGAGCTTTGTTAAGGTGAAGTGTCAGACGAGGGGTAACGTTAGTGAGGTTGGGTTGCTCAAATAGTTATGAGCAGTTTCAACATAAACGTTACAAACAAAATCTCTTTGAACACCGGCGGTAAAGGTTCAGCGGTCAGCGTCGACGCCGCCAACAACAACAAGGAGTGGAAATTGGGAAACGATGTGTTTTCGTGCTGTCACGAGATGAGTCCCATGGACGATACGGTGCAGGCAGGGATGTCCTCAGTCCAGTCGGGACTGGACGGACACCTGCCGATTCTACACGCTAGTCATCACGGCACGCAGGACGGGTTGTTGTTGGACCTGGGCTCCCCGACAGCCTACCTCGACAGCAGCCCCCTGGAGTACAGCGACAGTGACGGACACAACGCTGGTCCGTTGTTCGAGAGGAGGAAGAGGTCAAGGTCCAACAGCTCCAGACACCGCTACAATGAGGTGGTCACGGAGCTCGGTCCGGAGGAGGTGCGTTGGTTTTACAAAGAGGACAAGAAAACTTGGAAGCCCTTTGTCGGGCATGACTCACTTAAGATTGAGCGTATGTTTCGGAAATACTGTGAGCTGAACCCCGGTGTAGCGGGCTCACAGGCCAGCAGTGGGGAGGAAGAGTGCGGTAATAACGGTGTGGAGAGTAAAGGGCTGAACGGTGCGGTGCCGGTGGAGACAAGGACCAGCAGTGTGCACGGAGACCTTGGGTCCCCGGACACATCCACCGTGTCCTTGGATGAGAAGGACCCTGACAGCATTGAGATGAACGTAGAGCCTGTTTGTGTCCGTGGAGGACTCTATGAGGTGGATATTAAAGAGAGGGAATGCAAACCTGTTTACTGGAAGCGTGAGTATCATAAAAATCATTCCTGATCAAAGCTTATAAAATCACATTTATGCTCTGCATCAGTCACAAATTATGTTGCTCACGTTGGCAGGTCCATAGGCAATTCATGGTGTGTACATATCCCTCATATATACTTTATATTCTCCAGTATAATGTCTGACAGCATACAGATTAATGATCCATAGCCACACACAAGTCTGGTGTGTATTCAGAGACTCCTTTCAAGCAACATCCATCCCACCTCACATAAAAGACATAAACTAACAGCTTCTTATTCATTTTATTTACTTGCTGAGTCCTGCATTGTTTTGCTTTTTTTTTCATTAGTAAAGTAATTACTTAGCCTGGTCTTTTGGGAACTAATAAGCATCCCAGGAAGTCAGCCTATAGGGTTCAGCTGATCTGTGCTAACTAATTCATGGAGATTTCCAGGAAAAAAGCAGGGAACAAATGAAGGCGGTCACTATAGAGCCATGGCAAACCTGACCTCGGTGAAAGGGTTCATGGGTAGCTGTTTCTTTTGAAGGTTAATACCAAGTGACATTTAGAGAAGCAGTTGTTCAGGCTGTGTCTGTAAGTCCTTTCGTAGTCAGCTCAGACCCTCGCTGTGCCTTTTCAGTATGTTGCATGTTACTACTGCTGACATAGTGTTGTGTTAACACTGAAGAGTTGATTAACAACATTTGAGATGGAAACTAATACAATAGGACAATATTTAAAAAGTAATCAAAAGCATATCAGTAAAGGAGAGAGAGGCCAGTTCATGCAATAGGTGACGTGGAGGGGAGGGGTTGTTGATATACTGTTGTCCATGAAGTAAAACATCCATAAAAATACAAAAAGGGAAGGTGTTTCGTTATATGTTTGTATTAGCTTTATGTTCTAACATGTGAACATAGCACAAAAGGTGAAAAGATCGCTTTTCACTTAATGGGAACTTGAAACATCATGTTATGTGAAGCATACAAATCTTATTTTCTCTGTCCAGACTTGAACAACCTTCACATATTGGTGAACAGTATCTGTAGTTCTTGTTTGTCTGTCTTAGCCTTAGCGTTGTGGTGGGCCTCTCTGTCTGTAAATAGGATGCTCATGTGGTTTATATTTGTCTAGAGGAACAGTCTCACGCTCCTACAGAAAGGTCCCTGTGGTTTGCAAAGTTTGCCTACATTCAAAACTGCCTTTACACTCTTATTCACCTCCAAAGACTCAGTTAATAATGTGACTCAAGACTGTAATCAAACCTGGCCTCACTTCATATGCCACTGAGACTTGGCCCTCCTGGATTTGCTAGCCTTGTTGAAGTAAATGGAAATCAAGAAGCACATTCTGGAAGGCTATTCAGTTACTAGAAAGTCACTGTTAATGGGCAGGATTTCTACTTAAAAACAAACATTGAAACAAACGTTACAAAAGTTTACATTCAGTGTTACTCACCGAAACCCATTGTATGTGCTTGAGCTCTAAAAAATGTGTTGAATGCATTCCCTGCCTCTTAAAGTATTTGCAACGCCAATATTTGAAATCCACATCAATCCACATCGCATCACCCACACGCATGTGTGTCAAAATCGGGGACCCACTCATAGAAAAACAGCTCCATAATGTTACTCCACAGGGAATATTTAACATGTAAAGCACAAAACCAAATGTCCTGGCCCCAGAAAGCTGGCATGAAGATGTCCATCCCTAAAATTAAGTAATTATTTTGTATCTAAATCCATGCTATTTCTTCACTGTTTTACAGAACAAGACCATATTCCAGTCATGAGAGGCCAGTGGTTTATTGATGGTACCTGGCTCCCGTTAGAGGAAGAGGAAAGTGACCTCATCGAGCATGAGCACCTGAACCATTTCCGTGGGCAACAAATGCAGGACACCTTCGAGACGGACTTGGTGGTCAGGACTGTTGATAGCAAAGATGGTGAGAGATTGGGATAGGGAAGAATAGAAGAATAAGGATAATTCTATACATAATTTTAGGAATGGGTGGCAGAAGCCCCGACATCTAGAAAGCTACAAACTGTAGCTGATCTTTTAAACAACACAGCAATGAAGCATCCATTCTAGTAACTTAACTAAGTCTGGATGAATACAGTTAATAACTTGATCTTAAGAAGATTTTGTGGTGAATGTTGCCATAAAGTCACAGCCTGGTTTGGGGCCAAAACACATTATAGTTCACTCACCAAGACACATAAATTGTACTCTTCTTTTCTACTGCAGTCCCCCACCCTGCAGTGTTTTTATTCCAGGCAGGCAGCATCCTGTAAAAGAACATGAATATTGTGTTGTGTTAGGGCAGTGAGGAGATAAAATGCTCCCATAGGTTTTAATAGCAATAAATTCCATTAAAGTAAAGTCATCATCTTCAAAATAAAGCCAGAAGAAAAGCATTGTGAGTCATAAATGGTGAACGATGCGACAGCCCTGCCTGCTGTAGTGTCAATGCACAGTCAAGAGAAATTAATGCAGCAGGTGCTTCCATTCATGCAAGTGTTCGTTTTGTCATGTAATGCTCAATGTAAAGCAGGTGCAGCTCATACATTCTAGCACGCTGGGCTGGCTCAGGCGAAATGTAGCAGTCTTTAGCTGTGAAAGGCAACAAGAAAGAGGTTCTTTGATTCAGCAGTCTCCTTAAGGCAGCCAGAACTACAGGACCTTCACTGGTGATGAATGTGTGGGTGTGTGAATGTGGCCGATAAATAGAGAGAAGCAGAAAGAGAAAAAGATGCAGCAACTGTTAACAAGAGTGAGAAAATGTTTAGTCTGCATTATAAAAACGAAGCAAATATATGTGAAAGACGCGTCCAAACATCCCCAAAGTAACCTGGAACATTTATGTAAAAAATTGAAGTCGTGAGCATAAGGATCACAGTTATTCATTGAATTATCCTTATTTTCTGTAACCCTGATTGGTTGTATTTGAATAATAACATAATGACTCACTGGTTAATTGCTGTTAATCACTCAAAGCCTTAGTCAGTTTTCTTTTCTTTTCTTTTCTTTTTGGCTTGCCTTGTTTCTAGTACACAATGTTGTCAGGACACTGTCGTTCCCTCCTAAGGTCTATAAATGAAGACCAACAGAGCAAGGTGATTACAGTAGGTTGGCCTGTCTTGCTTGCATCGTCACTCTTTGTGTCATGTATTTGTGGCCAATAGCTCTTTCCTGAACTGAATCATAGCCGCCTTGAGACTAAACGGGAAGGTCACTCCTGGTCCACAAGCATTTGTGTACATGTATACATTGGCTCTAAAAATATCTGTCTATGAAAGCAGGCATATAAACAGTCACAGAGGAATCATAGTAAGATTATCTGCAAGCCAGGTGTGTGAAATATAATGCAAGTGCACACAAACTGTGTTGTTTTGTGACACTTGGAGGCCACTCCATTGCACAACGCACAGATCATATGACCTTAGCTTGTCCAGCTAGCTGTATTACTGCAAGGGTGAATAGTGAAGTATAATTCTACTCACCATATCATGAAGTGAGCACCAACTGCACAAGCTTACACAACATATATGTTATTAAAATTTGTCTGCTTGTGTTTGTTGTTATTATTTTTTGCTTTAATGCATGGAACTTGAAACACAGAGCATCTGTTTGCAAACCCTCCTGCTGTTTTTGTTGGCAGATTGTTTACCACTCCTATATTTAGCCAAGCCTTAAAACAAAGTGAGTGATAGATCTTGTCAATTCACCTTGTTTTGGTCTTTATTACAGGGGAATCTTCACAGTAGAGTCTTTTATCTTGGAACTAATAATCTGAAGCTCTTGGAGCCATCAGTAGGCTGCCCTGAACTGCATTACAATTGATAAATGGATCTGCGCTCTGACATTGCTGCAGTACATACATTTCCCCTGCTATCTCTCCCCCTCCATATCTCTACTCTCTTCCTTCTCCCTTCTTTCTCCTTGTGTCTGAGTAGGTTAGTAAAGTTTAGTAAAGCAGATGACAGATGGTAGTCAGCGTGCTATGCGGGCATAACAATGTGGGCAGGACTACTGCTGGGTACAAATAGTGCGTGAATGCCCTGTTCTCTCATGATACAAATGTATTTTTCTGGTTATGGAGAACTGGTTAAAGGAGTAAGGTAAAATCGCTTAGAAAGAGCAGTTGTCAGTTTAATGCTATAGTAATAAATGAACACTGGTGGTATTCACAGTAGATCAGAAGAAGGAGTGATTAAATGGCATTTGTGAGCTTTAAATGATGAATTTTCCGTAATCAAAAAGAGCTTCAGTATCTGATCAAAACATAAAGTATTTACCTGAATTGATGTTTTACAATTCTCTTTCCCCTCCCAAATTCATCATCCTGTATTAGTTAACTGTTGTAACTTTCTTTAAACCAGCTTTTATTTTATGGTAGAGAAGTTACATAATGTTGCTTGAAACTTGGGTGGCAAGCTAGCTAACAAAGCTAGACAGCAATTGACGCAAGCGAAATTACACTTACTTACTAGTCCAACAGCAGGAAGGCCAGCTGTCTTGAATCCTTTCAGCTGTTTTAGCTCAAGCCAACAAGTAAAGGCCAATCCGACATTTACTCTTGTCCAATCCCTTGCTTTGTCGCTCTCTCTTGTTTTCTTCCTCACTTCCTCCAGCATTTTTGAGGAAAGCTTAGATTGTGAACTTGTGGCCCCAGAGAGACACTCACAGCTCTTATTTTAGTTATTGGGGCTGAAAATATCCACAAGGGCAATTACAGCTGATGGATTTTCTAAGCTGTCTTTTAATGTTTTGATTTCCATTGGCCAACTTTGATCAGCAGAATCTTGTCTTAGCATAATTTTCCAAGCCAGATTGAGGAAAATGTTATTTGTACTGAATATGAAATAGAAAAAAAGTATATTTAATTTGAAGAGGATCCCTTCCCATTCACTTTAAGCCTCTCTGATTTGTGTCTGTGTGGGTATAGAGCAGTAAGTCTATGGAGGAAACTACAGGGTGTGTCCCATTCTGCCAGGTTTCGCTGACGTCAAGGAAAAACAAATCTAGCAGGATGAGCACATGGTCATCTGTCAGCAAAATACTTTTGGTATTTTTGAGGTAGGCAAGGCCCACATGTCTGTTTGTGTATACTACATATTCTGCTACATATTTATTTAACCAGCACCTGAGGCTGGGAACACACTGCATGATTGATGTGTAAAAGAACCGGATATTGCTCATCCATTACTAGCTCTTGAGAGTTTTTTTTCAACATATTATGGATTTATGTATTTCTTGTCAGGAAGTCAGTTGGATTTGGTCGGCACTTGAGATATCAAATATGTTTGAAATCATCAGGTGGTAAGAGTCTCTTTTACCCATAATGAACATACTGCTCACAGTAGCAATATTAGTTTGGTCTGATCTGGAAATGAATGGTGATGGTGCACTCAACCTTAAAGTAATGTATTGTGATCTAAACCCCGAGGATGGTCATACTGCAAACTACCACAAATCAACTGATCCTCGGTACATCCATATAAGGATTCTGTGCATAATATATATTCCAGTCATTAGGGAACACCTATATGTGGATGGATCCATCAGTGCTGTAATGCCCAAATGGACTTTATTAATAGCTTTTACAGCAAACAAACTTCCTGTGCACTCAGCAGGTCTCTCACTCCTCCTCAGCCTTTCACCTCTGCTGAGGGACACACTGCTGACATTTGCAAGTCTGATGTCTATTTTATCACGGAATGAAGGATTTAGTCAGATCTGAGACATCTGGACTTTGATTTGATTAACAAATACAGAGGAGGTCTTTTTAAATGTCAAGTCAAGAATATTTGACCTGACTCCACTTACAACTGAGTCTATGATTTAAAGAACATAGAGCTGCTGTTGATTTGATTTCAGTTATTGTTATTATTGTATTAGTTGTATTTCAATATAACCAATATTTACCAATAATTATGAAGTATTATAAATAACTTGTCTTTAGTCTCTGTCCATTAGTGTTCATATTTGTAAGTGTTGCTATGTATGTTATGAGAACAGGTGCATTAATTGCGTTTTTATATCCATTTATTCATCTTCAATAACTTTTCAAATAAAATAACAACAAACATTATCTTTACTTATCTCTCTCTAAAATGCCACAATTGACCAATTGTTTTGTCACCTGTCTGTCCATGTAAGAGTAATATTACGCATACAGATCTCTTTGTATGTTCCTTCCTCAATGTGCGGAATTCAACATCAGTTCCATAAAACATTTCTAATATGCAAAATATCAACTATTTATGAACCCAAATGGAAACATTTACTGCTGAATGCTGTTAGGAACTTCTACGGATTGGTGCTGGTATTTTTGTTGTACTACTTTGCAAAACACATCTTTGTGCTGCTTCATATAAAATATAGTTGTTATATTTTAGTCATCTATTGTGTGGAAAAGGAACTTCTACCTACTATATAAGTATTTTAACAGACAAAATGTTTACCAATAATACTGCATTATGAAGGGTAGCAGTTTATCACACACAAACAAGAATTTAAGAGAAAAAAAAATGACATATTTAGTCTTCACAGAAGATTTGTCTGAGTGTAAAACAGATGCTACCTCAGTCATCGTAGGCATATGTCAAGCAGTAGTAGTAAAGTAGTCTGTTCAAGAGTGATGACAGCGGTAGCTTGTGTGACAGACACCAGGCTAATGGCAATTACTCACTCTCTCTTGGTTGTTAGTTCTCTCCCACCTGCCCCCTTTCTACCTCCCTTTTCTGTTCAAATGGAGTGGATATCAGACGAGTGCTAGAACTACATGTCACAAGCGCAAACGTTGCCAAGGTACTGTAAATTACCACGTTCTTTTTTTATTTATTTTATGTTTCTTCTGTTGTACTAGATCTGCTAGCTTGTATCCTCTCTCCTAGTAGATCATTTATTTACAACTAGACCTAGGCTCAGTTAGTAATGGTTGTATTAAAATGGATTTAGGCTGCTCTCCCAGTTCTCCGTTGCAGCCTTAACTGGGCCTAGTTGCTAGAACTTTTCCCTTTGTGCTATGACCCAGAGTTTGGTATTACTGCTGTTGCTGCTTTTTGAGGAAACATTTGTTTCTGTCTCTCATCTCCTTGCCGGGATAGTGAGCAGACAACCTGGGAAAGACCCCTAAAACCAGTGGATGTGAAATAAACAAGCTGGTCCTCAAAAAGCCACCCTTCTTTACCCCTTTTTGATTTCTCCAGCCCCATCTCCCATTTTCTCTCTCATTGCTTTCTTTCTCTCATCCCTTCTGGCAGTATGACTATCGTTAATGAACCACAATCTCCAGCTCTCGCTCGAAGGGCAATGAACAAAGCTCTCTGTTGAGTGAATCAAGCACAAGCGATGAACAGAAGACTCATTGTGTCTCTTTACTATAGGCCCCTAAATGTGTAGAGTCTCCCTCTTAGAGGTCCATCACTGTCCTAGTCCTGGGTGCATTGAACTTCATTAAAAATGCTTAACAGACAGGTCATGGGGTCTGTGTCCTCATCTTATAGTAAATCCATGCAGCTATTGACCTAAAGCCTAGTGTGCAAATTAGACCTCAACAGAGATTACAGTGTTAAGTACCCTTTTTTACTAGCATTTGATTATTACAACACTAGTATTCTATCTTGTTATTCCCTGCAAGAGGTGGAAAAGCCTTATGAAGGGAAGGTAGCTGATATGTTTGTCATGCTACAGGCAAGACAAAGTTGTAACTGGTATTTTGCCACACTTCACAGTCCTAGACCAGCATCGCAGGGTATTGTACATGTGATTAGTTTGAGTAGCCCTTTCCCTTCCTACTCATCTTTCACTTGTCCCCTTCCAGTTCTGTGCTTCCTGCATCTTACTCAAACTTTCCCATACACAATTTTCAGCAGCTTACTCATTTTCTGATCAGATTCTTTGCCCCTCCTCCCTTACTTTTTAACCCTTTCCCTCATCCTGTGTCTCCCAGTAATTTGCCATAGCAGTGTTAGAGAACTCCCTCAGCAAACTCTTAAACCTTCTGTTGACTGACTGCCAGCACCTCTGCACACTTCGATCTCCCTCCTTTCCCTTTCTTTCACAATGCTTCGCCTTTCATTGTAAAACAGGAAGAGTCCATGTACAACCCCTAAGCATCACCCCATCTTACTGGCGTCATTTTCACTTGTAAATCCCATCAAACTAACATTTTAAGCCAGCTAACTGGAGAAGTTCAATATAGTGTCTATTCTATCTGGACTGATACCTCCTGTTTTACAGTGGACTCAGCTACAAATACAGCTCAACAGTCTAAAGTGGCTTCCCCCACCATGTATAATGACAGTGTGTATTGTCTCCTTTGTCCTCGCTTGTGAGTCCGTGAGATAGATGATGAGGAAAGGAAGCCACTTTAAACTGTTGGAGATGAAGCCAAATTAGATGGTGAAAGGTTCTTTTTCAGAAGAGTGGGTTGCTCCCCTTCGCTGCTGCTGTCATAGAGTGGTTTAGTGATGTTCTGTGTGTGGTGGTAGAGGTTAAGCATATGTTTGCTTTGCTGCTGAGTGGTTTCATTTGAGAATCTGCAAAGGTAAATGGAAACATGTGACAGAGGAAACTGTGTATGCTACCATGTCTCTCACCTCAGGTTCCTCAGGACATGCGCTTTATTGTTTTATCTGGCTAGAAAAAAAACCAATGTCCTTCCTATTTGTCATTCCAAATGTAATGAGTGCCCTTTTACTCCAACACTGCTGTTCCTTCAGATTGAACAAGTCTCATTTGCTAAGGTCTCACTTCTAAGGTGCAATAACTACTTGGCCTTGCATTATCCAGCAGTCATGCTTGTCCAATTAAGAAATTAGCCTGCCAGGCTACAGAGGCCCTGCTTAACTCCACCATGTGACACACAAACACACATGCTCAGTTGATAATATCTTAATTTATTCATTTACATGGGAAGTAAATGTTATTACTTATTCCTGCCCTGTAATACAAAGGAATGTCTAATAAATGTCCAAATATTAAAGGATGAGCGAGAAGAAACCTGTGGGAAGAATGTGTATGTCTGGCACATGACACAAGTGATTCCCTAGTCATTTTTCCACTCGTCCATACAAAATACATTCAGTAAGTCTTAGTTTTGTGAAGAACCATTGTAATACAATAATAACATCTTTTTGTATTGTTTATGAGACTATTATTAAAAGTTTCAAGCTAGCAAAAAAGTAATATGGAACATTTTTTTACTTCCCAAGTACTACTACATACCCCCTTCTTAAGGGTTTTAATCCCCAGATTGGCTTAGAGCAGTACAACGACACATGATTGTGCACGGGAGCAACGCCAAAGTCTTCCACCAATTTCATCCAGATGAACTTGAATGCACAGGACATTTAAAAGACAAACATAACTCTCTCAAGTCAACCACTTTCATTTATTGCTCTTAACTTCTGTAGCAAATGGTGGCTACTCTTTAGCCATAGCCATACCATGCTCTTACTTGCTCTAGTCACTGCATTACACTTTAAAGCAGGAACACCACAGAGAAGAATTGAACTGAAAGTGGTGTGAATGTAGATATTTGGTACATAAAATGCCTCAGTCTGATGATACTCAAGCGGGACAGACAAGCAAGAGCTGAAATATGCAATCATAGTGTGTGTGTGTGTGTGTGTGTGTTAGTTTGATGTATTTTTCTTTCCAATTGCAGATCAATGCTCCAGACTGCATTTGATTGAGCTGTGTAAATAGATTGATCCTGGACTTTTTTATTTCATACTGCATTTAAGATGATCACAACTTGGTGTAATTCTTACAATGTGTTTAATCTCTCTTCCTCTGTACCCACCTCTCATGACCCTTTGTATCGGGTAAACCTTTTTTCACGTCCCTTTCTCTTTTCCCAATATCCCCCACCATCTGCCCTCTTCACTTTTCTCTGTCAATTCATTCACTCACTCCTCTCTCCCTGCCCCCCACACAGCCATCCATAGTCTGAAGCTGAGTCGGACCCATGTGGATTGGCACAGCGTCGATGAAGTATACCTCTACAGCGATGCCACCACTTCCAAAATTGCACGCACCGTCACCCAGAAACTGGGCTTCTCCAAAGGTCTGTGATTCACACACTGTCATTATCTCTTCATATAGTAAGGTAGACAAACAGTTCCCTGATCACACAGTGCATGTGTGTTTGGACTTGTTTGAATTAATTTGAAACACAGTTGGAACCTTTAATGATTTAAATCATTTTCTTTAACATTTTTACTCTCAGTACTAGCAACTGGATTACTGTACAAGGTACTACAACTACTAAAATGTGGATTATGAAACCAACTATGGTTCGGTATATAATACAGTGATGATAGAGTATTAAAGAAAGTTTTTTACTGAACCAAGTTAGACTTTTGCCATAGTTCCTGTAAAGCCAAACATTAGATATTATTCAGCATTTGTTTAGTCATGGCTGGGTACAGTTCACTCTCTTAACTGGATTAGCCCAGAAAAACACAGTGTCCATCTGCTAGGTTTAATCAAATGGCCCAAGATTAACTGAAAGCATGTCAACTGAGTTTGACCCCATGTCCGATGTTTGATCTGTATAGATGACTGTAATGTGATCCACGGTCTCCAAGCTCTATGGTACATTTTCATCTCCTGCTCACAGATGATACAAGGAGGAGTTGACACTGGCTATTGCAGTCTCCTCTGACACACTAATGCTCAGTGAGGGGAAAATCTCCTTAGTGCTATCCAAAGAGCAGCAAAGTCCGTTGGCTCCTATCACTTTGCAGCACAGCAGATGACTGGACTAGACTATAGATTCTAAAAAAAAGGACACACACTCAAACCTCTAGGCACATTACAAGGGTCACAGCAGGACTTTGTGTCTCACCTACTGATCTCTTTGGACTTTGAACAGCACGTTACAGCATCACTAAGATATTTATAGCCTTCTAGTGAGCATAGTGGACATGTGAAGAAAAAACTGTAAAAAAAATTCACAAATGTTTTTTACTGTACAAAAAATACAAGTAAACAGCTAGCTACCATAAGTACTGATCCAACTCGGTCCTTTCTCCCCTTCCAGCCTCCAGCAGTGGAACACGGCTCCATCGGGGTTATGTTGAGGAGGCCTCACCTGAGGACAGACCCCCTCAGACTACACACATAGTCTTTGTGGTCCATGGAATTGGACAGAAGATGGACCAGGGGCGCATTATTAAAAACACTGGAATGTGAGTTTTTAAAAAGATAATTTGATTGAGGATTTGCTTGTATTCATGTTGTTTTATCTCAATAAGACCACATGGCTTTTCACTGTTATTCCATTGAAGTTTGTTAAGGGGCTAAGGCAGGTTTAAATGTATTCACACCATATCCACTGTAAGTTAAAGAGAAATCTCACTGGGATGGTGTGATGTTTTAATTGCTGTGAAGTTTTATTTGTTCTCTGTTCCTTTTCTTTTCCAGACACAGTCTCTCACACTTCTCATTCTATTTTTCCTGTGGCTTTTATAAAGACAGCTCACTGCTTTTAATTTTGTATCTCTCTGTTACAACACAGACAGAAAAGCGTAACAATATCTTGTTCCTTTAAATGGTTATGAATTATGCTATAGCATTTTTCTGTGTGTTCTGTGGCTTCCTGACTAAGCTTATATAGCATGTTGTGCTTTTTATTAAGTGATTGCGGGTTTCAGATATTGACCTGTCTGGCACGTTCTTGAAATTCCAGGAACCTTTTTGTTCATTACCATTGTATTTAAGTAGTGTATTTATGGAATGCACAACTACAGTCCTCACAGAAAAATGTAGGCGATGCCCATTACATATTAACAGCAGGCGCTGAACCCTTTGGCATAATATTACTGCATTTACTAAATCAGAAATGGCACTATAAAATTTCCCTCTGTTTTGTTCACCCGAAGCCACCCATAGTTGTAAGTTATTTCAAGCATTTCTTTTGAAAACACTGCACCTGATGCCTTTGTATTTTGTTCTCCTCCACTCCTCTCTCCAACCATCTCACTCTCTTTATCTTCTCCTGCTGTTCTCTAACTTTGGCCTTTGTATTGTTAAACTGCCGGCAGTATAGTGGCCAAAAGAAACTTGAGAAAACACAAAGGAACAAGAAAACATATTTGCCTGATGTATTGCATTTAGTGAGGCTCTGCAGCACCAGCAAATACAGAACTTTTGTGGGGAACGTAAAATACTTTTTCATCCTAATATTGCATAAAAATGTAGATCTTACACTAGCAGCAGAAGAAGGAAAAAAAACACCAGGCTTGCTGTAATTTGAGTTAACAACACATATTGTCATTTGATAAACCCAAGTTTCTTTATTTTAAATTAGACAACATTACAGTTCTTTTTTCATCTCCATGTTGTTAGGTTTGTAGGCTGTTTTGTTTGCTTTCCACATGCTGTACCGTAGCATCATATCTGGCTAGAATTAGCTGAGTTCAGCCAGAGCCTTTCTCACTGACCTGATTGTGCAATAATTATTATCATGCTGTGTCCTTGGTGGGCTTGGCTATCAAAACCAAAAAATGAACCAACCAATGAAGCTGCAGCTCATCAGTGTATAGGCTGTTGATACATTCTGAATTGTTACTTAAGCTAGGAATAGTCCTTGTTTGTGTCTTTGTCTGATGGACTGTGTGAAGACACATCAGATCCTAAATGGCACCACTGTACTAGTCTTGGACCATAAACATTAAAGGCAGTAGTACAGAATGTGCAAACCAGAGCCGTGTGTGTCATAAGTTATCACCGGGCCACTATCTGCAGCTTAGTCTGGCTAAGCAGGTAAAGTAGACCAAGTCAAACTGCAGAGCTCTTTAAGTCTCACTCCCAGCTCCCTGCGGATTACAGCGTACATGTTTTCCTCAGTGAAGAGGAAAGATCAACCTGACATATCTAGCCAGTTCCTTGTTTTTCCTTGTTTAGCTCTGTGCTTTTGTTAGTGTCATCAGCAGCAGTGAAATTGTATAGGTATAGGGAAAATATGAATTTAGCTAAACCTACTATGTCAAAGCTCACTGCCCAATTAATGACAACCTAGAAGCTTGGAATCTTTGTGGGCGCAGCATAGAAATCTCTGTAATGCAGCGCTCAACCCTCTGATCTTTTAATTTCCCCTGCAGACACACTGTCCTGCAGAACCTTCATTAGGTCCCCAATTCACAGACCAGTCACCTAAAAGCCTCCCAGCCTCTATTTACCCATGTCAACGCTCTACCTCTCTCTTTCTGTCTTTGTGTATTTAGTGTTTCCTGCGACCTAATGCTGCCCCATATAGGACTAGTAGTATTGCTGCCATTGTGTTTGTGTGTTGCATAAGGAAAGCTGTTGGATTAGTGAGCAGCAAAATGGTCATCATTCGTCTCTTACCGACAGTCATTAAAGTCTGTGAGAGAACGAGTGCAAACACAGACTCCCTAGTCGGTCTGCAGCAGGGCTGGGTATACTTCATTATAATACACTGCTGCCCAGACAATGTGATGACATTGTTTCTAAATCAGCAATTTGTATCTGAATGTTTTGGCATATTAGCCAACATATACCCAAATACTATCTTAAGTAATAAAGGTGTCAGTGTGCATCTGTTTTCCTCATATACTGTATGGCCTTTGTTGTTATGTGCCTATTCAGGCTGAGGGAGGGCGTGAGAAAGATGGAGGAGAAGCACTTTTCAGAGCACAATGACGAGCATGTGGAGTTCTTGCCTGTTGAATGGCGATCTAAACTTGCTCTGGATGGAGGTTAGTTTGTGTGTTTTTGAGACTGTACATGGGTGTGCATGTATGCATGTGTTCATTCCTATTTTTGTGTGTGTGGGGGGGGGGGGGGTTACAATAGGTGTCTCTAAGATGTTCTCCCGTGTAAGTCTTTGTCCTTTACAGAACTATTACTGTTACAGATGATGAAGCATAGCCAGAGTCGTCCCTTACAGAACTATAATAATAAAACATAGCCAGAGTTGTCCGTTACAGAGCTATAATAATGAAGTATAGCCAGAGTCGTCCCTTACAGAGCTATAAGAGTGTGGGGAACTGGTGAGGAGTCGGTAACTGTAACTTCATGATATGTCCTTACCATAGTCACTGTGGAGATGTAGATGTAGGATAAAATGTAGAATTACCTGAATGGGTATGAAGTTGAATTAATACCTGTCTGACCATGTCAATCAAAACTGAACATGTAAAGGTCGACTTTATGGCTGAGCTGTTGTACTGGATTGACATTGGGTATTTGAATACGGGCACCATTGTGTAATGATTTTCAATTAAAACATAAAATAAATTATATCGATGCTTTATTTCTAGATACGGTAGACTCAATAACACCAGACAAGGTGAGAGGACTGAGAGATCTACTCAACAGCAGTGCCATGGACATCATGTACTACAACAGCCCCCTTTACCGGGATGAGGTAAGAGTCACACACTTCCAAAAACCTGAAATTAAGGTTCTGTATGACACACTATTTCTCCTACAAACTAACTTCTAAACTCCCTGCCTCTCCAGATTACCAAGGGCCTCACACAGGAGCTAAACAGACTGTACACACTTTTCTGCTCCCGGAACCCTGAGTTTGAGGAGAGGGGAGGCAAAGTGTCCATTGTGTCCCACTCCCTCGGCTGCGTCATCACCTATGACATCATGACAGGATGGGATCCTGTGCGCTTCTGTCAGCAGGAGCACCACACCGTGGAAGAGGAGCTGGACATGCGTTGGATGTCCTATGAGGAGAGACACATTTTAGAGCAGTTACGGCAAACAAGGAACAGGTAGAGCCAATATCTTTCAAACCCCTCTCTCCCCCAAATTCACTAGCATTTTTTTTGTTTTGTTTTGTGACGCACATAATAGAGTGTGTGCCGTAAGCTCATCTCCTGTTCCATTTGCAGATGGCAAGTTGTATTTCCTTTTTGTTTGTTTGTGTGAGGCAGCAGGGTATTGCATGAAGTCGCTGGAAATTCTTGATCTGAGTGGTACTGAGATTGTTTGATGACCGGCATATGGACAAATGTTTTTCTATAGATGATAGGAGAATCAGTATGTGTACCTTTGAAGCCTGAGGTTATAAAAATGCATAAGGGGATATTCAAAATGATTGTATTGTGGCTGGTATAAGCTATGCTGTCACATATATATTTTTCCAGTTTATAAATCCATGTCCCTTTCTGCTTGTATCAGGTTACAAGAGCTGGAAAATCAACTCCTCACACTGGAGGCCTCTAAACCCTTAGCACCCCCAGCCCTCAAATTTAAGGTAAGATGCTGAATTATTTGTACTATCATAATGTGACATTACTCTAAATCGATAAATGAAGGGATGTTTGTTAAAAAGACTAAACAACTCAGATCTACGGCACAACACTAAATGCCATGACTTAAGTTTTGGCTCCCTCATGTGAATATTTATCATAATAATAATTATGTGTGGTACCTTTCAGTGTGTCCATTATTATAAGAAAACACAACAGAAAGGATTACACCCTTGGCCACTGTGAACAAATGATATCTATGTCAATGCCAAAGACTCCCTTTAGAATGTTTGTATTTTATTGTCTCTCAGGTGGAAAACTTCTTCTGCATGGGTTCTCCTCTGGCGGTGTTCTTAGCCCTGCGAGGGATCCGCCCTGGTACCAGCTGCCACCAGGACCACATCCTGCCCACCTCCATCTGCAGCAGGCTCTTCAATGTCTTCCATCCCACAGACCCTGTGGTTAGTCTCCCCTGATTGTCCCAGCCCACATGGACACTCTCTCTCTCTCTCTCTCTCTCTCTCTCTCTCTCTCTCTCTCTCTCTCTCTCTCTCTCTCTCTCTCTCTCTCTCTCTCTCTCTCTCTCTCTCTCTCTCTCTCTCTGGGTTATGACCCCAAGTCAGTTTTTTTTCTTTTCTCTTTATTCTTGTCGACTTAGCCCACATGCATTTAGGGTGTGATTTATAAATAGGAGTTTTCTGTTTCTACTGGACTTTTTCCGCTGTGCTCTGCTAATAGAAAGCATGTCTTCGCAACTCACCCAGTCAGATGTTGAAATAAAAATGTGCGCTATAGAGTCCCCCTCCAAAACTATTTGAACAGTAAGGCAAATTCCTTTGTTTTTGTTGTTCACTGAAGACTGACCCCTTTTTCAAGTGAGCAAAACTATTGGAACATGTGGCTGACAGATGTTTCTTGTTGCCCAGGTGTTGCCTTTTAGGTTGATTGTCCAAATATTAAATAGCTCTGCATGACAAGTCTAAGTTTTCATCCTTGGTTCAAACCTCTAAAGACTGCATTTCCTGTTAAAGAGGATAAACCAGACCAGAGAGCTGTCTATGGGAGAAAAGCAAGCCATTGTCAAGCAGCGAAAAGAAGGAAAATCGACCAGAGCCCCAGGACAAACATTGGGCATAGCAAGCACAACAATTTGGAATGTCCTGAAAAAGAAAGAAACTACTGGTGTACTGAGCAACAGACGTCGAACAGGTCGGCCAAGGAAGACAACAGTGGTTGATGACTGAAATACCGTGAGAGCTTTGAAGAAAACCCCCAAAACATCAGTAAGTGACATCACCAACGACCTCCACAGTGCAGGGGTGAAGGTATCACAATCCACTGTTCGAACAAGACTCAGAGCAGAAATAGAGAGGCCACACCACAAGATGTAAACCCACATCAGCAGGAATAATCAGAAGGCCAGATTGAAATTTGCAAAGAAGTACAGAGATGAGCCACAAAAGTTCTGGAACACAATCTTATGGACTGATGAGACCAAGATTAATCTCTAGCAAAGTGATGGAAAGGCCAAAGTGTGGAGAAAGAAAGGTACTGCTTATGATCCGAAGCACACAAGCTCATCTGTGAAGCATGGTGCAGGTAATATCATGGCTTGGGCGTGCAAGGCCGCTTCTGGAACAGGCTCATTGATATTTATTGATGATGTAACTGATGATGGTAGCAGCAGAATGAATTCAGAAGTGTACAGAAACATTTTGTCTGCCAATTTACGGAGAAATGCATTGAAACTAATCGGGAGGAAGTTTATCATGCAGCAGGACAATGAGCCAAAGCACACTGCCAACAAAACAAAGGACTTCATCAGGGGAAAAAGTGGAAGGGTTTAGACTGGCCAAGTCAATCACCTGACCTGAACCCAACAGAGCATACATTACACCTCCTTAAGAGGAGCCTGAAGGGAGAAACACCCTGAAACAAACAAGAAATCAAAAAATCTGCAGTAAAAGCCTGAAATAGCATCACAAATGAAGAATGCAACAGTTTGGTGATGTCGATGGGTAGCAGGCTTGAGGCAGTTATTGCAAACAGGGGTTATGCCACCAAATATTAAATGCTATTTACTTTAAGATTATTTGTTCCTTTACATTTACTCACCTAAGAATGCTGTGGTCTAATAGAAACAGTGATATGTAAAACAAAGGAATTTGCCTTACTGTTCCAATACTTTTGGAGGGGACTGTACTTATTGGACAACTTGAAATATTAAAGTAATCCATCTTTACAGTAAGCTAACTCTTCTTTTGCTCTGTTCAGGCCTACAGACTGGAGCCCCTTATCCTCAAACATTATAGCAATATCGCTCCTGTTCAGATACACTGGTAAGAACTTGAATCATACATTTTATTACACTTGATGTTACCCTTTGTACATGCACATAATGATTTTTAAAGTATGTATGTTCTGATTATTTGGGGTTTATTTCCTGTATCAGGTTTAGCGCCACTAACCCCACATCCTATGAGGAGGTCCGACCTACCTTCCTGACCCCAGTCAGAGACCCAGCATCTGACACTGAGAGCATCCCTAGCCCGAGCACTTCTCCTGTCCTCGCCCGTCGGCACTATGGAGAGTCCATCACCAGTCTGGGCAAGGCTAGCATACTGGGTAAGACACTACCATCAATTGTGATCATATACATGACTAGAACATTCTTTGAAAGATTTTTAAAGCTACCTCATGGTTATGAATGCAGTACCTGGCATTATTTAGGGCTCTCACCCTGTTTTCTGTATGTTGTTGATATGATGACTATTGTATATTATTATTTTATGCTATTGTATTTGACTGACATAGGGAAATAATATGAGTTTTGACAGAAATGCGAAGTTGAGTGAATTAAATTTCACTCTGGAGATGGTCCTTATTCCATTGGTAAATTATATTCTGTCCTGTGATAATCAATATCTGAAGTAATGTGAGATCCTCACTTTGACTACAGTACCACTTCATCAGTGCCATCATGTGGACAGATGGGGAATGGCCCCCATTCTTTGAATTGAATTAAAGGATTAAAATAACAGAAAGAAAATTACTGCAATTCTTTTTGTCTTGTTCCACATCCCACTCAGCATCTTTTTGTTCTCTCAATGTAGGAGCGGCGAGCATAGGGAAGGGCATCGGAGGCATCTTCTTCTCACGTTTCTCCCGCTCTAACAGCCAGCCCTCAGTGTCTTTAGGACTTGAGGGAGGGACAAACACTGAAGAAGAGGAGCAGAAGCGGTCAGAAAGCCAGTCAGCATATGGCCTCTCCACCATGACTCGACCGACCTCACCCACAGCTGACACATGTTAGTTTGCTTATCCTGTCAAACACATAATCATAGAGAAAGTCTTGCATGTGTTGGTGGTCCGGAGCCTATTATAATGCCTCTTTTTCTGACTTGCAGTGGAGCTGGAGCGGCGCATCGACTTTGAGCTCCGAGAGGGTCTGGTGGAGAGCCGCTACTGGTCAGCAGTGACCTCTCACACGGGCTACTGGTGCTCACATGACATAGCACTCTTCCTGTTGACCTTCATATACAAGCAGAAGACCACACCCGCTGACCCAGCAGAAGATACTCCGGAGCCAGACTGAGTCAGCACATTCGTTACAACACATAAACACTTGAATAGTGTCTTCTAACCTTGAAAGGTTGTGTCATCTTCTTGACAAGACACAAAAATAAACTTCATTCATTTATTTTTCATGCACACAAACTGCTCAAATACACTAATCACCATTTTTCCTACATCTCCCTATGATCAAGCTCTTTTAACTCTGGGAATCATTACAGACAAACTAATTCCAAAACGTGCGTTTTTGTCTCTTGTGTAGTTTCTACACAATTGCACACCCTAAGGGTGACAGTGTTGGACTAGGAACCCCTAAGGAGGTGCACCATTTGCCAGTATGACCACAAGCTACATTTAAACATTGAATATGAGACTAATGAGTATGATGTATTGAAGCATAGGTGTTTGTTGTTCCCAGAGGAAGAGAGGTCTAACTTCATTTCCAAGTCTTCAACCTTAAAGTGTCCATACATTTCCTGTTAATCAGTGCTTAAATCCAGCCTCTCTCCCACAGACTCATTCTGGAGCCTTGTGACACACTTGCCTGACCCTCTGTTACTGTGCTTGTGCTTTTTAACTTTTTTCTTTGACTTTTTACATGAAGTAGAGAGAAATATAATTGTTAAAAATAGTGGTTTATCTTTAAAATAAACATTTAGCAACTACAACAATGCCTTTCAAAATTAGCCAAATAATATTGTTCATGCAGAATATTTCTTTTAGTTTTTCCAAACAAAACCCAAGGGCATTAACCCTTTAATAATGGTTTGGAAGTATGGACAAAGATATAACAAATACGCTATTTTCAGTTTGTTTTTCTTACTCTATTATTTGCCTCTTTTTAAAATTGTTTGACTCTTGAAATAGATATGCACCAAACAAAAACCCTAGCAAAGCATCACTTTTATATAATATACAGCAAACAGAATTTCTTTTGGCTTGTAGTTTCTGCAACTCCATCATCAAGTACTAGGGACTGAAATACTCCTACTAACACAACAGTTACTGCTGAAGTTCCTACAGGACATTCTTAGTTTCCATGTGACATTTATGTTCCGAGGTTTACGACCACATGAGACTTATATCATGACATGCATATCTGCGCTCCTAAACAAGGCCCGGACATGTATAGTTATTTTCTTACACCCAGTTAGTTTATGTCTAAAAATCTCTTTTTGATGCCATTTACAAGCTGAGAGGTCTAACTTAACTTAAAACAATTACAGTCATTCATACTAATTCTCATTCGTCTATAAATCTATTATGGAGAGATTTTTTTTCCTGTGCTGTAGCTTTATATTGATATACCGATGAGATCAGTGGTAATAGATTTATTTTTTTATTTAAAAAATAAATATTTATCCTAGCTCATTGTCAGGCTCTTGTGGACAGAAACCTGCATCTCATCTTGGGGAAAATAGGATTCAAACTTGCGGCCAAATAACATTTATACTTATGATCTGCTCAGCTTTAATAATGCTACAGCTAATTCGGCTAATTTCTATAAAAAAGTAATAGGCCCTCAGTAGAAGCATTATTTTTTATTTTGAGGCTTTTGTGGTACATTGGACGCAAAAGTTAATTGTATCTCGTCTGCCTGTTTTTTTACGAACATTTCACACTTCCCGGTTTGAGCGTTGTCTTTTTGTTTGTGTGAAAGAAGGGTTTGTTTAGTCTTAAAATCCAGTGTATTTTCCAGTTTGTCATTGCCTAATTGACACTACTTGCAAAATTTAATCTTTTTTAAAAACTGATAATTGGAGACAGCGTATCATGCTGCTTTTCATGACTTTTGCCTTAGGTTTGTCTGAGCAGATATAAAAAAAACTTTAAGTAATGATGGATCGTATGTCTGTCAAATGTGGTCCTTTTTAGAAACACGCCCAGTAATGATAATGCAGAAGTTAGAAAACATACTCACTTTGCATGGTTTATATTAATAGCAAATGGATGTTAAAACAAGAAGACATTGCAGAGAGTGCCAACACACATCTAAGAATCTGCTTTGTGTTCTTTATTGAGTAGAAAACCACTCATGATTGTTTATGGATTTCTAATTAAATCATAATTTATTAAACAATTACAATGGATGAACAAATGGAATTACCCTCTGATGAATGTGTTGGGTTAGTTACATGTGACATACTTTATTATTGTCAGTGTCAAATTTTCTTTGTGTCCTACTTGTAATATCATAGTTATCAAAAAGCTTATTTTAATTTGCTACGGTGCAAGCTGCTGTTTTACTATTCCACACAATCAAGGGCTGTTGTTGATTGGTCCACCACTGAATGGAATCCACTTATTGTGTTATTTATGCATCAGCCCTACTGACTGAAACCAGGCTGCCTTTCAGATGACCAGAAAAAGAAGAAGTATGGAAGAGTGATATTGAAAGTGTCTATATTTGATCTGATGGAACTTGTCCCTTAATCAGCTTAGAATTGCACACAAATTAAGTAGAAAGCAGCCCAGTTTGCTGAGCATGTTGTACATTGCAGCGATAGCCACACAAAGCAGTTTTTAAAGTTACTTGGATGGCAGGCATGCAGTTTACTTTGGAGACCATAGACCTGTAATGCAAAATACAAAGACAGTTCCTCTGTTGCCTCTTTAAGTCATACTGTGTTCGTTCAAACCGCCAATATGTATTGCAGGAGTGTGGACAGACCATTGAAACAACAAATAACATTTGTGATTTGGCTGTGTATTTTCCATTTTAGCAATTCTTGATTCAAGCACAGATTTGCAGTTGCATTCACTGCTTGCTAAAACAAACACTAGCATTAACACTGAGGACTTTGTCAAGATACGTTGTACTTTTGACTATATGGGCATATAATGCACAGCATTTCGAATGATTACAGTATATTTTTCTTGTTAAAGGCACCATAAGCATCAGGGAAATATGTTACATTTTATATATTCAACACTGTTGTTGACACCAGTTTCAAGCCATTATTAAGTAAAAGAATTGAGCGCTGTCGCAGGAATGTTGTCAGTCTTTAGATTTTCAGAGGTTAGTAAAGGGCCTGCAGCCATATGTAATCAGTTAACTGGGTGAGAAAGTGAAATGTATCATGGGTGTATTGAATGAAATGTGTTACATTTGTATCAGTTACCATTGTTGCTCTAACTTTGAATGGGAGTCTGTCCTTAGAACTGTGCAATAACCCATGCCTGTAATGGATTCTAACTGCCATTCCGAAGCACTGTATTTATTTCATTTTATTAAAGCATTTCTTTTTTTTGGATACAATGACTACTACTTCTTAATCTGTCATATCCCACAGATAATGCCATGGGGAAAATATTGAATTAGGAATCTGTTTATGTTATTGCGTGGGAGGAGGTTGAAATTTCTAGAGAGAGATGGTCTCATTGCTCATTCCCAGACTTGATTATGGAGGACAATGGAGCTAGTTGTTCATCTGAAACTCAGATCAGATTCTTTCCAAGGCACCCCCTGATGTGAATAACAAAGCTGACTTATAGATCGTGAATAGGCCACATTGTAATCCTCAAGCAGTCATTGCTTCCACATGAGTTACTAGCGTTTTAATGCAGTTCAGCAACATCTGCAGAGGATAGGCTCACAGATGGGACCAGTTAGAACAGAGGTGAATCTCATAAATAATACATTTGGCCCTGCTGTTCTGTGTTTGACCAGAAGAGGTCAGTCATCTATAGGTAATACTGGAACAAAGACCCCTATTCACCATCTGGTGCCTTTCAATCACAGAGCTATTTTGACAGTTGTTAATGCTCTTATTTCTAATTGCATGACTTGATCAGTTATGTTTTTATAATAATGTTAAATTGGCATAAAATACATAAAGTTTTACTTGCGTGACCGCCCAAATGTCACACCAACTACAATCAAAATGCGGAAGAACAGAATTTGTTTTTTGTAAAGATGACTCATGGAGACAATGTAAGCCTCTTGAAGGCTTCTCCTCACATCCTCCATCTCTCTGCCTCGTCTTCCTACCCTCCATCCCCCCACCCGCCACCCCTCCTCATCCACATCAGCAGCAGCCAAGCCAGCCCCCCTATCTGACTCTCCTGCTCTGCATCTGACTGACTCAAATGTTTACTCTGCAATTAAAACACAGCCTATAAAAGGCAACGGGTCGGGTGCCAGACACTGACAAGGGGGGTCAGAGCTGCATGGAGAGATGTTATAAATCGCTTTGATGCTGACTGTAGTCTGAAGGCCCAGATTCCAGAGCTGGAGGACTGGAGCTGAGCGAGTTCACCGGGACACCGAGCCAGAAACACTGATGATTCATGGGTCTTTACTGCAGACCACTTGGAGAGTGTGTTGGGGTGCATTATGCTGCTGCTTTGGAAAGAGACAGTGGCCATTATCTCTGTTTTGTTTTTTTTGTCATTTGGGTCATCATTTGATTTAATGCACATATAAAATGCCATTATTCATCTGCTGCTGTGTAGAGCAACAACCTGCAGATGATATCTTTATCAGTGTCTTGCATTTGGTTGATGAAGAAAATATTTATTCATTTATTCATTTACTGTATTTAAGTACAATTTGGAAGCTCTCTACTTTACTTTCCAGCTCTCCATTTTGTAAGAAGTTTTTACATGCAGAGATAAATACTGCACTTTATATTATTTGTCTGCAGCTGGACCTACTTGATACGCTCCAGAATCATATTTTATAATAGATAAAATAATGAAATATAGTTGATTTCTTTACTTTAAAACCCAAAAGAGTTTGTGAAGTAATCTGACATTCCTCCACATGGACCACCTACAACATTACAATAAAATGCTCACTGAATATATGTGATGTGTCAGGAATGAAAGTAGATATCTGTATACCTTGGCTAATTTCCACACTTCACAATCTTTCACTGAGGCTTTTTATTCTCATGGAATTGCTCGATGCTGGAAGGAAAAAACATTTTTGGAGACACTTTTCAGTTTTTAAAACTTCTAAAGTGACAAAAAACAAAATGCCTTGTTATTTTGTGCTCTTACTCCCGTGGCTAAAGACCCAAAGTTCCCTAGATGCTGCTGCAGGGCTAGGCAGCACTATTGCCATAAAAGGCAGCTTGAGATCCTAACTGCATGTCCATTATCCCTGCCACAAACTGTTGAATTTTCTAATGTGGAGGCTTGCAGTTTGACAAAGTCTGTAATATAACACATATACAAGTCTACTGTATTCTGTTCACATTCTTTATCAATGAGTTCTTTTCATTGATTATTTTATTTATTTATTTATTTACTTCTGTTGTTTAACCCCCCAAATGTTTAAGGCTGAATATAGCGTTTTGGAATATAAGACCATATTACTGGTCAAATAATGATAAAAAAATAATGATTTGTATTCCTACAAAGTGGCTCTCAGATAACCCCACATACTGGGTCAAAAAGGGAGAATTAACCCACAGTTCAAACACTCAGGTCCAGTTTAAGCCCTGAGAGAGAGAGAGAGAGAGAGAGAGAGAGAGAGTGTGTGTGTGTGTGTGTGTGTGTGTGTGTGTGTGTGTGTGTGTGTGAGAGAGACAGGGGGGACCAGTAGGCGATCAGAAAAGCTCCCAGTATGAAAGGAAAAGTGGGATTGGAGCAGTGACGTTATCTGCTGCTGGAGAGAGGGAGGGAGAGAGAAAGAGGGACGGCTGGACTCCATTAAGCCGAAGCTTGCAGGGAAACTGTTTGGGATACTTCACTTCTTCAGCGAGTTCTTCGGGGATTTCTTTCTGTTTTTATTGTCTACAAAAGACTTTATACATGATTTAAAGAGGGGGCACTTGTTCTGTACCGTGTAGTCGATTGTTTTAGAGTTTTTTTCTCCTCGTCTTTGTGAAGGTGAGTATAGTTTAATGTTCGTCCTCAACCGCTTTGCTCGTTCGCCGCTATGAAATATGAAAGCGTATTTATTGTTGTCTTCCGCTACATTTAATCTACGCTTAGATGAACAGTTCTTATTTTTAAGCTAATTTTAGCGGGTTGTTTGCTTTTAGGCACACTTTCTACTAAACTCACTCCCGTATCGAGCGACTTAGCGACTGTGCACGTAGCCGGGAAGCTGTTGTGCGGACTTCGCTTACATAATTAACCCTTCTGCCTATTTGTAAGAGGGACTTTACCGTTATTTTTAACAGGTGAACCGGCACATTTGCGAGATAATAGCTGCAAAAGGTGCTTGTTGAACGTTAGCCACGGGCCCATAGCCTTTGTTCTGCCGTGTTTTATTGATAAGACTTCTCTTTTGATCGCCAGGCCACTCTATGCTGGACATTCTCGGATCAAAGCATGACATATACGCCATAATGTAACTTTTTGGCAGTGACTTAATACAACAGGGCGCGTCTTATTCCCAGCAAGAAGCATGAGGACAACCACAGTGATGGGCAAACAGTTGACCATCCCTTTCTAAATCATCCTTGATGGTCTAATGTTCATTAATGAGCTAAACCACCACGTCTGTTACCACTGTTGTATTGCTGTAACAGTGTGCTCATGTTGGAAGAAGTATCTCTTACTTTACTAGCTTTACTTAAGTACAAGTAGAAATACCAGAATGAAAACAATACTCCTTTAAAAGCATTCTTTATTCAGAATTGCACTGAATTTGCAGCAAAGTATGTTGAAAAGTATCAAAAGTAAAACCACTCACAATGAAGGATGAACCTTGTTAGAAGTAGGCAATAGCAATAAAATTCTCTATCATAGTTTGTCATTTCATATCATCAATATTGATATATGGAAAGTTAATGGATTTTTAAATTTATTAAATTTATGGATAAAGTAATTATGGAAATGCGTGTTTTGTATTGAAGGTGTGACAGATCAAGAAACTTGCATCACTTTGATGCAAAAATCATGCTAAATTTAAAATATTGCTATACCATTTTGTTGTGTACTTTCTATTATAAACCTGTAATCCTAGTCCAAGCTGAGGGACCGAGTAATGACATCACTCTTGACACCATCAGGGTTACTTTTTTTCAGACTTTGGAAAAATCTTCCAGAGCAACAGAAGACATCATACAACTGTTGTTGCAGGCTGAGAAGTGTCAGCCATGACTAGTCAACTGACTTTGCTGTGTGTGCCCCTTTTTAAAAAAAGGGTGGCTGCCACGGTAAAGTAACCAGCAACTACAGCTGTCAGATACTGTGAATGCAGTTAAGTAGAAATGTATAGTTTCCCTGGAGTAGAAGCATATATTTAGAAATACAAATGAAAAATACTCAAGCACTCAATACTAGAACAGTGCTCAGCTCTGCTAGTTAGTGAGTTTAATTTACATCCCTCCCAAGTACACATGTTCAGAAATATCAGCCTAGTCTGCTTGAAAATATCATAAAAGGGTACAGTTGTTTCTCAAGACCTCGCATGCATGGACTTTGCACCACATGTATTCCTTACCAGAGGGTCAAAAAGTTTCTCTTCACTCCAGTGTGACAGAAGTTTAGCCAGATCATTTCCCCACCTGACTGTGGGTTTGTTTGGCAGGATGGCGCTGGACGGGATCCGGATGCCCGATGGCTGTTACGCCGATGGGACGTGGGAACTGAAGATGCATGTCACCGACCTCCACAGAGACGTGTCGCTGAGGGTCACCGGGGAAATCCATATTGGTGGAGTCATGCTCAAACTCGTGGAGAAACTAGGTATGCACTCACGCACGCTGCTGTCATGGAGAGGCCAGAGCAGTTTGTTGCGCTTTTCAAACAACGTTAGAAAGTAATAAACAGGCTTGGTCATAGTCTTAATTGACAAATTTTGAGACATGATAGAAATGTCAACAATCCACCTTGAAATGCAGATTTAAGATACATTCCATTTGTAATGTATGTGGATATGGTTGGCAGTAATGAAAGCCCTTTCCTTTGAGTGCTGACCCTAGGCCCTCCTCCTGAAGCAGACTTTTTGTGTGTCAATGGCTGACTTGTGTTATCTGTTCATATTTGTTGGGCAATAAATGCCTCTTTTGGTTGCCAAAATGATGGTTACCATTCTGAGAAGTGAGATTCCACTAAGTAAACGCCACTCTTGTGTGCAAACTTACAAACTGTTTCTGAATTCTGGCCAAAGTTAAGAACTGACATTCTCTAACTTTGTCAAGACTGGGAAGTGAAAATTATGCTTTCTGATAGAAACACTGAGAGAGAAAATATATGAAATCAGATCTTCGGCTGCATTATTGTCTTTGGAGAGAAAAGTGAACCTGTTTAATACATTTTCTAATTGTGCAGACTAATTAATGAAATGTGTCGT